AGGCCGTGACATCGGCCAACAAAGCCAAGCACGATGGTCGCACCAAGCACCACAAAATCCTTTCACAAAATTTCGTTGAGCTCTTCAAACACGTAGCTGCAACGTACTCAAACTTTGGGAGGACTGTCTCGAGCTCCGCTACCAATCTCAATGTAACAACTGTGAATCCTAGCCCTCGAAGTCTAGTATCACGAACTCAAAGCTTAACGCGTTCTTTTCCTCAATGTCGTAGGCTACACCGACTCAAGGGCCCTCGTGATCCAAATGTGGCGGGATCACAAGGAATGAATCCTAAACACCTGGAAAAACATGGATGTGTCAGCATGCATTCACACCTTGGGATGTGCTCCTGAGTTCTAGAGCTTTGATGAGGTTAGACAAACTACGACAAACTGCTATGTCCCGTGCTGCCCATGTTGTCGACCTTTTTTGCAGCAACCGGATGTGAAGACCAAAAGTTGCTGGAGGCATTGAAAGCAAATTCAAGGCATTGAAATACACAGCATAGAGATGTGGCAGTCCAAGTTCGTCCATGAATTGGAGGAGGGATCGAAGCAGGTTGACAGAGAGTCCCACAACTTCGGAAACATCTATGTTGCGAGGAGCTTTGGGATCACTTTCATGGTTGGCGGCAAACAGCAATTGTTTATGCAGCTGACGTGAGTTTGGACAAATGCCGCCCATGCCAATCGTCCAAATGGCATTGACTCCACAGAAGGCATTTTTGTGGGCATGACAACACGTCACCTTCTAGAAGGCCAAGAAGCTACACTGTCCGGAAAAATCGACAGGGTATGTCGATCACCCGCCAGTGCTGAATGCATGGCAGGCCTTGATGCTGAAGATGATTTGACCTTTCTGCGTTTCTTGTAGGCCGAGATGCAAGGCAAGGAGGTCAATACAAGGGATGACAGCCGCACAGCCAAACAAATTAAAGGTCTTTTCATTACTGATACAAAACATTTACAGTACTGTATTTGACAAGTTGGTTCGGGCAACACCTTCAGTAAAGGGAGCAAAGAAACGCCGGTATCAAGGTCATGAGTTTCAACTAGACGACGAGTGGCCCGAAAGCATTTTTCATCACGTAGGAAGT